CAGGTGCTTAGGAGTTTTGTAGTCTCAAGCGCTGTGAGTGGCTCGTATCCAATTGAGCCGTGTCCAACTGGGTGCCACCCATTCCGCTGCATGAGGAAGTACCTTAGAACATATATACCTGGAAGGGGAATTGCTATGTTCTCCATAGTAAAAATCTGTGTCTAAGTTGGGTACGAGAGAGAAAGATAGCTTTTAACCTGTGCTCGCAATGCGCAAGCGCGGATGACGCCACACGTCACACTCACCGCGCCGTTTGAAACTGTAATTTTTAATTGAAATACAATTGACAATGATTGAATAAATGATAAGTAATGTCGGACAGTGTACATAAGTGATAAGTAATTATAAACTTTATTTTATACAAGCAAAAGAACAAAATAACATTGGAGATATATATATGTATATATTATTGGTGTTTAAAGTGTATTAATTTTGAATATTTTTGTCTAATAAAATCTTTTTGCTTAATATCAGTCGCACTTTTTCCTTCGTGAAACAAACGCAAATTTATATAAATTTTAATAATACTTTGTATTAATTCAGTCTTATGGTTATTGAAAATATCTTGTTGCATAATATGTTCCATCATTTTATTATCATTAAAAACTAAATGACAAACAGTTTGAAATGATTTCATGCACAACACATTTTTAATATTTTTAGTTTTAAAAATAATATGACTGTTTTCTCGAATAATAGTTTCACATACTTTTGCTATTTTTATGACATCTTCTGATGGAAAAATCAATTTTCCTCTACTTTTTAAAGTTATTAATATTGAATCAGTAGATTTAGCAGTTAAAAAAATAGAGCATGTATCACAAATATTACATCGTAAAAGCTTTCTAATTACGAATCCACTGATGTATTTGACCACATCTTCGATATAAGAACTTAATGACCATAAGGTATCTGTGTTTGAGTGTGTTATACTGTGTCGGTTTGTGTCTCCTAAAAGGAAAGCAGCCTATATATTCAAATTATCACTCAAGTGTCACCCAGGTATCGCTACAATCTTGTAACTTGTGGCGCCTTTAGATTACTAGAAGTTTAAGTTGGCAATCCTGCGCTCACACTACAGAAAGGAAAATTGTTTGTACCCTCTCTAGATTATTTTAAGTTCAAGGGAGACGAATGTTCTCCATGATTGCAATTCTTTACTTTTTCTTGTTGAAGAGACAAGTGAGCTTTGTAAACCTCTCACAAAATAAAGTTTTATTTGTTTGTCGTTAAAAATACGGATTTCGTTATTTGTCGGAACACATTATTCCCACAATTGGTAACCCCAACGTGATCCGTAATTCCTTGCAAATTCTGCATTGACACACGAACATCGAAAGTTAAAATCAGCTTCAAGATTAAATCATCCAACCATGCCTACCAAACATTCACCCACAAGAGCAGGCACCGAATCATCAAACGCTCAACCTCTCATCAACTTCCAAGCATTAGCGGCGTAGCCAGCAATCTACAAGAAGCAACGCCTGTAGAAGCATTTCTCCCGCCAACCGGCATCGGGGCAGCAACGTACGCTAGAATCCCGCCATTTTGGAAAGAAAATCCAGCGTTATGGTTCGTTCAGGTAGAAGCTGCATTCAGTATTTCTCGTATCACTTATGACGATACAAAATACAGGTATGTTGTCTTACATCTGGATAATACAGCATTGCCTTTCGTGTCGGACATTATCGCTAACCCTCCACTAATCGGAAGATATCAAGCTCTTAAAGATAGGATCATACGTTCCTTTGATGAAACCGGCGAATCTAAATTGAGAAAGCTTATTCGCGGTAACGAGATTGGCGACGATAAGCCGTCTAATTTTCTTCAGCGACTCAGAAACCTGGCTGGCGGACAATGTAACGATTCAGTCTTGCGCACTTTATTCTTTGAACAATTGCCCGAAAACGTAAGATCAGTCTTAGCCATTAGCGAAGTCACAGATTTATCTATATTAGCTTCTCAAGCTGACAGAATATACGAGATCATTAAACCGACAATAAACACGATAGCTTCCGCTAATGCATCCCAAGCGGTTTTAAGCAATCAGATAGATGATTTAACTAAACGTATTGATGCGTTAGCCAGAGAATTACGCGGACAGCGTTTACGGCGAAGATCTCACTCACGACAATCACGGAAACCTAGCAGCAGGTCAGGATCCTCCCAACGTAGTCGGGACGGAAGTTCGATTTGTTGGTACCATCGACAATTCGATATGAAAGCTAAGAAATGTCAGCAGCCTTGTGACTATAGAACGGAAAAGAAGTCGGAAAACTAACACAGCCACCGCATGTACAGGCGTTGTCGGATAGCATCAAACCAAGTCGCCTGTTCCTACGCAATCGTAAGTCGAATTTAAACTACCTAATTGACACTGGCGCAGACATATCGGTTCTGCCTAAAAGTAAACTTAGGACATTTAATTCCCCTGATGACTTCAAGCTATTCGCAGCAAACGGATCTGAAATTAAAACTTACGGACAAAAGACAGCTCAGGTAGATTTAGGCCTCAGACGCTCCTTTCTATGGAAGTTTACCGTTGCTAACGTAACTTGCGCTATCCTTGGCGCAGACTTTCTCCGACATTTCAATCTATTAGTTGATCTCTCTAATAGATGTCTTATCGATGGAACAATTAAGTTGCACGTTTCGGGTCAATTACGTGATTTATCTACACCATCAGTAACTACTATTAGTACTGATTGTAGGTATCATCATCTACTAAAAGAATATATTGACTGATCACAAATCTTTGATCTATGCCTTTCAACAAAAGTCAGACAAGGCCTCACCAAGACAACAATGGCAGTTAGACTTTATCGGCCAATTTTCTACGCGGATTGTTCACATGTCTGGAAAAGAAAACTCAGTCGCAGACGGCCTGTCTCGGATTGAGCAAATTAACATGCCTATCATCGTCACCACCGAGGAACTTGCTAAATATCAGGAAGAGGACGAAGAACTTAAAAGCTTATTAGACTCTGACTCCTCATCTCTCACTCTTAAGGAATTACGTTGCAATGACAACGGCATTACTTTGTATTGCGACATTTCAACAAACGATATCCGACCGTATGTTCCACAAATTCTAAGACAACAAGTCTTTAACATGGTTCATATAATTTAGCACATCCTAGCACCAAATCTACTCAGAAGCTTATCGCACGTCGTTTTGTATGGCCTTCAATGCGCAAAGATATCGCAAATTGGATCCGCACATGTTTACCCTGTCAACGCAGCAAGATATTTCGACATGTTAAAAATATACCAGATAAAATTGCGATCCCAGACGAAAGATTTAAACATATTCACATGGATATTATTGGTCCGCTTCATTCTTCAAGAAACTTCAAATACTGTTTAACGATCATTGATAGATTCATTCGCTGGCCTGAAGCGATTCCTATTCACGATACTTCAGCTGATACTATAATCAACGCGTTCTATTATACTTGGATTGCAAGATTTGGGGCTCCGTCTACTATCACCACTGATCGCGGTACACAATTTGAATCTCGATTGTTTCAGGCTCTCACATAATTAATAGGCTTCAAAAAGATTCACACTACAGCTTATCACCCTGCTTCTAATGGCATGATTGAGCGATGGCACCGTACCTTAAAAACTGCAATTATTTGTCATAATAATCAGGAATGGGTTGATATTCTCCCAACAGTACTCCTTGGCCTCCGCACCAGCATTAAAGAGGATAGTAAAGCCTCTGCAGCGGAATTTCTCTATGGAACTTCACTACGTCTTCCTGGTGAGTTTTTCCTAGATATAGAACCAACTAATGAACCTTGTCTTTTTTTTAGAACGTTTTAGACAAAACATACGCTCAATTAGACCTTCCTCTGCGGCATATCACAGAAAGGATAGATCTTTCACTTACCAAGGTCTCGATAACTGCACCCACGTTTTTATAAGAGTAGACGCGGTAAAGCCTCTTGAACCTCCGTACGAGGTCCCTTTCAAGTTTTGCAACGCATCACAGATAGGATATTCGAAGTTGACTACAAGGGTAAATCTACGACTATTTCCACAGAAAGATTAAAGCCTGCATTTTTCGAGGCTGTTCCTGATGAAGAAAGTGCAACCAACAAACCTGCGAAGCCTCCACCTGTAGCTCTTCGCACATATTAAAGACCTAAAAAAGTCCATTTCGTAGTTTATTTCAATTTACTCGGAGGGGAGTATTGTGGCGTCTTTAGATTACTAGAAGTTTAAGTTGACAATCCTGCGCTCACACATACACACACAAAGGAAAATTGTTTGTACCCATGGTATAAGGATAAGGGTATGCTCACGCCGTGGATACCCACTGCGC